AACCTTGTCTGTTAATGGAAGCAACCTTGTCTGTTAATGGAAGCAACCTTGTCTGTTAATGGAAGCAACCTTGTCTGTTAATGGAAGCAACCTTGTCTGTTAATGGAAGCAACCTTGTCTGTTAATGGAAGCAACCTTGTCTGTTAATGGAAGCAACCTTGTCTGTTAATGGAAGCAACCTTGTCTGTTAATGGAAGCAGCCTTGTCTGTTAATGGAAGCAACCTTGTCTGTTAATGAAGGCAACCTTGTCTGTTAATGGAAGCAACCTTGTCTGTTAATGAAGGCAACCTTGTCTGTTAATGGAAGCAACCTTGTCTGTTAATGGAAGCAACCTTGTCTGTTAATGGAAGCAACCTTGTCTGTTAATGAAAGCAACCTTGTCTGTCGGCTGGAAGAAGTTAATAAAACTGATTTCTCTTTGATTTTGGTCTCGGAGTGCTCAGCTTGGGTAAAGTGGGAGGCGATTCAGATGAAAGATGGTTTTCTTTCCCCCTGCATTTTGTGTTTTCTGATTCAGCCAGCTATTTTCAGCCCCGGCCGGTGTGGGCTCACTCTTTCCCTGCCATCTCTCCCCACGGGGAAGTGGAGGGTGCCAATCCTTGCACGCGCTGGTGGGTCACTTCCTGGCTGCTGCGTGCCAACCAGCCTCTCGTGCTGAAATGGCCGACTCGGTCTGTGTTCTTCGGTTGGTACGATTTATCGTGGTTTGCTTGTGGTTCGCTGTGGTCTTAAATGACAACGCAATTCAGACTTCAAGCGTTGATGCTGTTTTCTTGATTAGTTCAATTCATAAGCGACCGGAGTCATTCAGAGGGATCTAGATGAAGGGTTCTTTCTTTCTTTCTTTCTTTTTCTTTCTTTCTCTTTCTTTCTTTCTTTCTTTCTTTCTTTCTTTCTTTCTTTCTTTCTTTCTTTCTTTCTTTCTTTCTTTCTTTCTTTCTTTCTTTCCCTTTTTCTTCAAAATAAATTTTCATTTATTTTAAGCACATTTTTCTTTTTTCTTTTTTCTCTTTTTTCTTCAAAATAAATTTTCATTTATTTTAAGCACATTTTCTTTCCTTCCTTCTTTCCTTTCGCTCTCTTTTCTTTTTCTTTCCTTTTTTCTTCGAAATAAATTTTCATTTATTTTAAGCACATTTTCCTTCCTTTCCTTTCTTTCCTTTAGCTCCTTTCTTTCCCTCTCCTTTTTTTCCTTCCTTCCCTCCCTCCCTCCCTCCCTCTCTCTTTCTTTTTCTTTCTTCTTAAAGTTGCCAAGATGGAGACCCTGCTGGCTGAGGATTTCTGGGAGTCAAAGGCCATAAATCTGACAGGTGTGGGGGGGTCCCTGGTTTAGAACACAGAATAACAGGGTTTGAAGGGACCTTGGGGACCACCTAACCCAGCCCCCTTCTCTACCAGGAAACCCTGTATCACTCCAGACAAAGGCTTGGCTTGGCTTGGCTACCAACAGTGGGGAATGGCCTGAGCCAATTCAAGGGACCGCTGGTGATGGGGAGGCCATGGTTTTGGGCCCTCCTGGTTGAGATTCTCAGGATGGCCTGCCTCTTTCCTCTCCCTCCTGGAGGACAGGGCAAGGTGACCTCACAAGAGGCTGTGACTGCAGCTGTGAAGTAGCAGCAGCTCACCAAATTTGATGGCCACCACCGCAGACCCTCCAGAACATCGCACTCCCACCCTTACAGCCGAAAGGAAGACCACCCGGTGGCTTGTCTCTATGCCGCTACGAGAAGAGGGCTTAGGAAGGGAAGCTGGCATCTGCGGTCCCGGTCAGATAAGTCTCGTGGGTAGCCAGGCAGGGCCACCCTCTCGTCCCGCTCAGCCATGGCGCGTCCGCTCAACATGGACACGCTTCAGCAGAACTTCTGGAAGGAAGAATATCAGAAGGAGATCATGCTACGCTTCGCCTGGCACCAGAAGTACGGCGCCCTGGTCAAAGCCAAGCAGGAGAGCCTACGGGAACGGCGCAGGAAGGCAGAGGACACCACCCTCCGCCTGCCCTCCATCCGCCCGCCACCCCCGGTCAAGCCCAGCTCTCCCCCTCCACCCCTCCCTCCACCCCCACCCAAGCCGGTCCAGCTGCTGGCCCGGGAACGTGACTTGACCGGACTGGACAGGGCCCTCTTGGAGATGGAGATGAAGCCAGCTCCTCGCGAAGTGCGCAATCTTCTCTATCAGGGAATCTCCCACGAGGACGAGGGACGTTACCGCTACTTGAAGATGCGCCTTCTCGTCGCGCCGGAGGAGAAGTACACCTTCCCCATCACCACCAACTTCACCTACGGCTGGCAGATGGGTGAGTGGGTGGGAGGGTGGGCAGGAAGGATGGGGAAGGGGGTGAGGGTGCCCGCAGGGATGCATGTAAGTCAGGGGTAGTCAACCTTGGCTCTTTTATGACTCGTGGACTTCAACTCCCAGAATTCCTGAGCCAGCTTAGCTGGCTCAGGAATTCTGGGAGTTGAAGTCCACGAGTCATAAAAGAGCCAAGGTTGACTACCCCTGATGTAAGTGGACCGTGCGGAGGTTCTGTCCGGAGGCAACAAAGATGCAAGTCAGTGCTGAGAAAAACACGATCCGGACTTTGGGCAGGAAACACCAAACACACAAAGGTAGAACAAGGGGTATGTGGCTCACAAAATGAAATTTAATGGGGGGGGGGGGAAATCAAGGTTCTACATTTAGGCCAGAAAAACCAAACGCGCTTGTACAGAGTAGGTGGTACCTTGCTCAAGAGTAGCAACTGTGAGAGGGATCGCGCAGTCCTAGTGGACGATCACGTAAATCGGAGCCAGCCGTGTACGGCAGCTGCCAAAAAAGCCAACACAGTGCTAGACTGCATCAACAGAGGGATAGAATTGAGATCACGTGAAGTATTAATACCACTTTACAAGTCCTTGGTAAGGCCACACTTGGAACGCTGCATCCAGTTTTGGTCACCACGATGTAAAAAGAGGTTGAGACTCTAGAAAGAGTACAGAGAAGAGCAACAAAGATGGTCAGGGGACTGGAGGCTAAAACATACGAAGCATTGGGTAGGTCTAGTAGTTTAATGAAAAGAAGGACTAGGGGGGACACGATAGCAGCGTTCCAGTATTTGAGGGGCTGCCCCAAAGAAGGGGAGGGTTCAACCTCTTCTCCAAAGCGCCTGAAGGCAGGACAAGAAGCAACGGATGGAAACTCATCAAGGAGAGAAGCAACCTGGAACTAAGGAGAAATCAACCAGTGGAACTGCTTGCCTCCAGACGTTATGGGTGCTCCAACACTTTTAAGAAGAGACTGGACAGCCACTTGTCTGAAATGGTATAGGGCAGGGGTGTCAAACTGCCGGCCCGCAGGCCGGTTTCATCATACCGGAGCCGTGCCCACCCCATTGCCAGCAATGGCGAAAAAGCTCCGATACATCGCGCGATGTCATGAGTTTGACATGCCTGCTACCTTCCTGCCTTGAGCAAGGGGTTGGCCTAGAAGACCTCCGAGGTCCCACGATTCTATAAGCCTCTCCTTGGTCTTCTCCTAGCCCTGTCCACCTAAGGCAGGGGTAGGCAACCTTGGCTCTTTTATGACTGGTGGACTTCAACTCCCAGAATTCCTGAGCCAGCATGGGGGAACTATGGCCCCCTCATGACTCATGGACTTCAACTCCCAGAATCCCTGAGCCAGCATGGGGGAACTATGGCCCCCTCATGACTTGTGGACTTCAA